TCAATCAATCAATCAATCAATCAATCAATCTTTATTTAAACACGAAAATCTTATCATAAAAATGGTCTTCCTAGGAGTCATGTACGTGTAAAAAATTACAAAGAATAAATTAAATATATTAACAGGAATGGATTAACTAACATTACATTACATTAACTAACGAACTAATTAACTAGCCTACAGTTAAAACCTTTGTAATAAAACTTTCTCTAATTTACAGTACACTAAAAATAATCTTCCCCATTCAGCGAGGTTTTAAACAGTTTTAAACTAGATAGGTGTCTGACTTCTGATGAAATTATGATGATGATGATGATTATTTATACATTGGTCGTTATCTTGACTATACCCCAGTGTGGGTATCTTCGCGCGCAAGTCATTATTATGTGTTGCATAGAGCATTGGGTTCGCGTGTAATCTATTTTGAAAACAATCAAAAAGGTGTCTGTGTTCCCAGCGCCTTTATTCGAACCTAATGATCAGTGGTAGGGTTTATCACCTATATCCCTCCAGTTATTTCTCTCAGTCAATCCCAGAGTCTTGAGTGTCTTGAGTCTTCGGTTAGTGGTAGGTGTAGTCTCCTTCGCAGCCCTCATTAGGGTCGTCACGCAACGCTTCTCCCCTTGTTGCGTGACGACCCTAATAATGGCTGCGAAGGAGGGTGAGGCCTGGGGTATGACTAAAGATTTTGGACACGAATTTGAACCTTAACTTAAAACCGTCATTTGAGTAAAGATTTATCTTACAACTGCAGTTCAATTTTTTTCACGACAGTTACTATCGAGCAGTAACCGGCGATTGTCATCCGTGTTCCTGGTGCTGTACCGACAGCAACGACTGGAAGGAAGATATAGAGAAACAGTGCAGTGAACAGTCTAATCTTCCAGCCAAGCAGATATGTCGCTACGATGTTAACACTATCAAGTGTGCACTTGTGGCAAAGAGCATATCTGCGCATGTTTCATCGGCAGCTACCACAAAACCTGGGGGTTTGCAAGCCATACAGAATACCGTGGGAGCCAAGGCCAACAGTGGATTGTGGCTGATTTTAGTTGCTGCTTTTGCTGCTTTTGCTTTGTGTGCCTTTGTCACACTGGTCATTTGCTATCATAAAAAGCAACAAACGTTGTCCCAGTTGCTGTGTGGTAAGCCAGGCTGCGAGACTACACTTCGTAAGTATCCGAATCTCTCTGTAGTCTACGAAATAGAAAAGTCTTCTGGTATTCCATGTAGAATCCATGTAGTCAGATAGATAAGGAAAAGGACTGACAGGTCGAACTGAACTGATCAACACTTGATATAGATAAAAAGTAGAGCCAAGAGACCCGGAAACGATAACACGGAAATAAGATTTACGTTTTCCTCCAAATTTTTCCTCGAGAAAAAGCTTCATTGCTTTCATCACTATTGACGGCCTGGGGCCCCTTATTCGAAAGTCCCGGTAATTTAACGGACCCGAAGCCACATATTTTAAGATCTAAGTCTAAGGAATAGTAGTGCGGCTTTCAGCTAAAAAAAAGAGTCCATTCTGTTTAGCTTCCTGATATTTTCATTGTCTGAATTTCAAAACTACACCAGTGATATCTCGATCTTGAATGTAAACACGGCAATCAGAAAACAGCCTTCGGACCGGTAACCACTAGGAAGTTAGAGAAGGGTCCCTGGGGCCCGTTTCTCGAAAGCCCTGGAGACTTTTCGGGCCCGTAAAGCCATTTTTAGTCCATCTGTATCTAAAAACGGAGAAGTGTATACGCCTGAAACTTCTTGTATGAAGGGAACTTCTCTTCATATTAAGAATATGTGAATAAAACAGCTCTGTAATCGTAAGGTTCGAGATTTTTCTATGGCTTTACTGGCCCGAAAAGTTTCCGGGGCTTTCGAGAAACGGGTCCCTGGACCGGTACAGTCTAAATAAATAAATAAATTCATCCCTACTTTATTTTTCAACGCGGCCATTTCAAGTTAAGGTTATTATTCAGCGCAACGTTGCACTGTGTCGCACAAATCAAAGTTGGCTAATTACGCTGAATATAGACTTTCCATTTTTTTTTTTTTTTTACAAACGGTTTGTTACACGACCTTCTCACAATTTCATCAGATTCTGATCCTTGTTTTACATTATGCGATCATCGTTGTCTTATTTGATGTCTAAAACTCTGCAATTAAAGTTTAATCAGATCACTTTTGCTTTTCTGATCCTTTGCAGCAATACAAGCAGTTTGTAATCCTGAAAAACATTCACCTTTAGTTGTAATAGGCGGCAAGCAAACCGGTGGGCAGATGGTGTAAAAACCGAGCTACTAACTGGAAAGACAAAGAAGGCTCCACGAGTCCATAGTACCTTTTGTTTGGTTGATATTTCGTTACATCATGTAAAGTGCTGCAATACATAATACGAACATAAAACGGACTCTCTGCGAGTTCTGACTCAAAGGATACTGTTGCGTTGACTGATAGGACATGTGATACGCTGAATGGACAAAACGTCACCTGCACTGTTTTAAAGTTTCGTTATAAAAAGGAATTGACTGTAACGCAGACTATTTCTGTCCGTCTGTACGATCCGCACAAATCGCGCGGATCGTCAAACCGTTTCACGCACTCACCGAAGTTAGGACGCAAGAATATCACTTGCAATCAATGAGATGCACTTTTCGGTCTGTACACTGACCGGAAACAGTTAACCGTCGGTCAAACTGTACGGATGATAAAGTTTTTTTTTCTCCAGCTGTATCAGTTTGCCGACACTGGACAACCCTCAACTAAGGTCTAGTTCACACTAGCGACATAACGACACAACATTACAACGTAAGAAAGACGACATGTCGTTATGTTTGCAGTGTCAACATTCTGACATAATTATACATAACAACATTACAGCGTGAACATGGCAACATCAAGGAAAAAAAAAACCCTGATATTTGCCGGCGTTATGTCTTTATATCGATGTTCACATTACCGACATAAGCGATTAGGTCGTTGTGCCGTTATGTCACTAGTGTGAACTAGACCGAACGGAATAGAAAACAATCAGACATAGAGTGTAATAAATACCTTTTATTTGTAAGCTTTATTTTCTGAAATATAATTTTGATATTACTGATCAATATGTTCTCAGAAAAGATATATTTTTAAGCTAATGTTACAATTGTATATTTTTTAGTGAAGTTCCCTTTTAAAACACTGCCTAGATAGTATTTTGTATTTCCCACCCTTTCAAACAGAAGCCTTTAGTTACTCTTTTTGTAATACTAAAACAAGCACGAATCAGTCAAGTCAAGTCAAGTCAAGAATATCTTTACATCTTTAAAGAAATCTAAAATAACTCCTTACGGAATAGCTATAAAGGAAGACAATAAGGGATTATAAAACTAGGATTTCATTTAATGTGAATTTGCTTTTAACCATGTGAGGTACAATCCGAGTTAGGTCGAGTTAGTTCAAGACAGAGTATATTATTTTTCAGAGTAAATTTAGTAAACAATATCTCGTGAACTTTCATTTCGACGTATGTGTAAATTTCCATACCCTGTTTAAAACACTGGTTAAGGGCATGACTATATAACTTATATATTTCAAAATTGCTATTGAAATTTTCAAATAAATAGGTAAGTACGAGAAGTCCGTTAAACTCTAAACATCTTCTTCAGAAACCAACACTCCAGCCTCTCCATGGCTTTTGATACACTTCTTTATCGTGTCAATGGCGATTTTCATTCTTCTGTCGATGGCTCTGAAGTGAGGATCTGATAGGACCGGCGCCACAGGATCTTCTTCTGTTGCTTTCCGTAGAATTTCACTTAAGGGCGTGTTCTTTGTAGCTATAGATTGAAAGCGATTCCAGGTAGACCGTCGAATTCTGAAAGAAACATGAACGACATTTCAGTTCACAAACGGTCTATGGAATGTCGCAGATTAGAGACTACTTTCTCTTAAGCAAGCTACTTCAAAATTTTCGGGTCATGTCCAATGGTGCAATGATAGTTACTTGGAGTGTGATCAAGCAGCAGAATGCGCAAAATATCTTTTGCGATGCTTCGCCAAGCGACAGAAATCGCGGGAAAAAGTCGCGCGACCCAAACAACATTTGGTTTTCGCTTATCCTACGATTGGCTGAGAAGAAAAAATCTTCGAAACTTGTTCTGATTGGTTGGAGAAGCACGCTGTATAGGTAGCTTCCTAGAGCTACAGCCAACGCTAGTAATTTTTAAGTCATCGGAAAAGTAAAGCGCTTCAGTGAAATAAGCATTTGTCACTTTTAACGTCAGTGAAATTTTCTTGCTTATTACTGCGCACTTTAAAACGCTTCTTTGCATTTAACTGATATTAAGTTTCCTTTTCCTTTTTCCATAATACTGAGATGAACAGGTTATCATTTTGTTGTCTCGAATTGAAGAGATTCAGTCAGATGTTGGCGCGGATACTTCACTGACGTTTTTTCTGACTTGAAGATGTTCGCATGGATGTTAACCACAAACTGTATTCTTCAGACGCGTGGTAATATGTACCTTTTCATTCAAACTTGGCAAACCCAGAAAAACAAAATTAAGAGGAGGAGTAAGAAAGGTTTAAATCACTGTTGACTTACCTGCAACATTGATAAATAGGAGCCAGGATGGAGATTTCATCGTGATAAGGATCGCCAAAACTACAGCAAAAATATCACACTTTCTATTAAAAGGATATCGGAAGAGGCAGACAGACAGACAGCATGAGACAGACAGACAGACAGTCGGACGGACGGACGGACAGATAAACAACCTTTATTTAAGCTCGATTAAAATTAAAGCCCAGAAGCTTGTGGGGCAGGGTCCGAAATTAACTTTTTTAGGCAGGCGCCAACTGCCGACTGAAATTTTTTTTTCAGTCGCCATATGGAAAAATGTGGTCGCCAAAAAGTGTCAATAAAATTTTTCCTTCGCAGCGAAACACAAACCAAAATTTTTGGTCGCCAGATGGAAAATTCTGCTCGCCAATTTTTCTTTTTAGAATCGGAACGAAGAGAACGCGTTTGGGGCCGCAATGATGGCGATTTTTTACGCTAACGATAAGATTAAATACAAACACGCTGATTATTTATACACCTACCACTGAAAACCCACGACGAACGAATC